ATGATGGTGCTGATGATGGTGATGATGCTGATCATGATGCTGATGCTGCTGCATGATGCTGATGATGCTGATGATGATGCTGATGCTGCTGATGATGATGTTTATGATGATGCTGCTACTGATGACGATGCTGATGATGATGCTAATGCTGATCGGGATGATGATGCTTCTGATCATGATGCTGATGATGGCCCCTCTGATGATGACGATGTTGATGATGCCCAGGCTGATGATGATGATGATGGTGATGCTGCTGCTGATGACGATGCTGGTGATGATGATGACGACGACGATTATGATGCTGATGATGATGATGCTGATGCTGATGCTGATGATGCTGATGATGCTGTTGATGCTGCTGCTGATGATGATGCTGATGATGATGATGATGATGCTGATGCTGATGCTGCTGCTGATGATGATGATGCTGATGATGATGAGGATGCTGATGGTGATGATGATGATGGCTGCTGCTGCTGATGGTGATGATGATGATGATGGTGATGGTTATCGTGACGATGATGATGACGACGGACGATGCTGACGCCGATGACGATATTGATGATGATGCTGATGTTGATGATGATTGTGATGATGATGCAGATGCTGCTGCTGCTGTTGATGTTGAGTATGAGGATGCTGATGACGATGCTGATGCTGATGCTGATGCTGATGCTGATGATGATGATGATGATGATGATGTGATGATGATGCTGTTGATGATGATGATGCTGAAGCTGATGCTGATGGTGCTGATGATGCTGCTGCTGATGATGCTGATGATGATGATGCTGATGCTGTTGATGATGCTGATTCTGATGATGATGTTGATGTGATGATGATGATGATGATGATGATGATGATGATGATGATGATGATGATGATCATGATGATGATGATGATGATGATGATGATGATGATGCTGATGATGATGATGGCTGCTGCTGCTGCTGATGATGATGGTGATGGTGATGTGGTGGTGATGTGATGGTGACGTGATGTGATGGTGATGATGATGATGATGATGATGATGATGATGATGATGAATGATGATGATGATGATGATGATGATGATGATGATGATGATGATGATGATGATGATGATGATGATGATGATGATGATGATGATGATGATGATTGATGATGATGATGATGATGATGATGATGATGATGATGATGATGATGATGATGATGATGGTTGGTGGTGTGTGGTGATGGTGATGATGATGATGATGATGATGATGATGATGATGATGATGATGATGATGATGATGATGATGATGATGATGATGATGATGATGACGACGGTGATGGGAAGAGGATGATTGCAAAGAGGATAACGAGCGGCGCAGGTGTAAAATGACCAGGATGTGGATGAGAAGGAGGAGATGGAGGAGGAGAAGGAGATTAATGTGGTGGAGAAGGAGGATAATGTGATAACTGTCTCACACGAAGCGACACCCGGCCCACCTGGGAGCGGGCACGCGCGCCGGGCATTTGCCCCACTGCCAGCGCCCTACTCGGGACTGCGTATGCCTGCCCTTTGCCCGGGGCTTCGGCACCAACGCGCCCCACTTGGGTGCGCCTCAACCTGAACCAGAACCCGGAGGAGGAGGAGGAGGAGGAGGAGGAGGAGGAGGAGGAGGAGGAGGAGGAGGTGGAGGAGGAGGAGGAGGAGGAGGAGGAGGAGGAGGAGGAGGGGAGGAGGGAGGAGGAGGAGGAGGAGGAGGAGGAGGAGGAGGAGGAAGAGGGGGAGGAGGAGGACGAGGAGGAGGAGGAGGAGGAGGAGGAGGAGGAGGAGGGTCAGTTTGGGGGACGGGGATGCATCGCTGCAACACACCTTCCGGTTCGTAACCCCCTCCACTTAAAGCGATGTACGTGTTCCCTTCACTACGGGGAGCGCATGCTTGAACGACGAGTGCCCCACAGGCCTACCATGCTGGCGAGGGTACCCTGTCGGGAAGGAGCCGCCCTCCATTTTTCTTGTAATTATTCGGAGCGCCAAGACGTGAGACACCACATTTAGATGAACTCTCAAGCGGGAGCCCCATTATGAATCAGATCTGCCCTCCTCCCGCGTAGCCGTTTCGTTGTTTGGTTGAGGAAGTTCGAACAGTATCTGTCGATAGCCATCCATTGAACCAGGCCTGCCCTTCATCGGTTCAGCTGTAGCAATTTTTCAAGCCGAATGTTCTCGGCGCCGTTGCGAGGGCCACATTTTGAATACGATCCGCCTTCCAGCTGTGTTATTTCTGGAAGCTTTGGACAATGCGCTCTGAACAACGGAAACGGGCCGCCCTCCAACCGTGTACCCGTCGGACACATACATATGCACGGCCAGAATGTGCAAGGAGGTCTCAGGCGAACTGCCTGGGCTGGCATACCCAACGTTCTGCGGCAAGCTTTTGTTAGCTGGGAAGATTAGTGGATACAGAGGAGGTGGGAGAGGAGGATGAGGAGGACGATGATGATGAGGATGAGGATTCGACAGATGATGGGA